TTCGAAAAATATAATGTACACTAAAATATATTGTAATTAAGAGTGCATTAAAAGTTGTTTCAACATTTGAATTCAATTTTTAAACCGTCAATACAAAGTCAAATACATAAATAAATAAATAAATAAATAAATAAATATGTAACATGTGACAATATAATATATTAAATAGCTTCAAGAACGCGATCATAAATCCCACTGAAATTCTCCGTATCTTTTTGTAAATTAATGCTCTTTCTTTGGTTTTTTATATAGAACATTTCTGCTATTTCTCTTTTTCTTGTTTGTTTTTCTTGATGCAGAATCACAGGAGAATCCCAACGGAACTCATGATCGTTGCAAGTCCGATGCAAACTAACAACTGAGTGTGATGTCGTGTCTTTTTTGATGTTATTTTTATGTTCCTTAATACGTGTTTCTAAATGTCGCTTTGTTTGTCCAATATATGTAGAGTCACAATTCGCGCATTCGATCTTATAGACGACATCGGTTCTTTTTAGGTTATCAATACTATCTTTTCCTCTTTTTATCAAAGTGTCTAATTTTTTTGGAACGGTATATAATACACCGATTCCATTTTTGTTTATGCAACGAGTAATATTTTCGCTCAAATCTCTAATATACGGCAACACTATAACATTTCGTGTATCAAATTTATCTCGATTAGACGCACCAAAATTACCGCCAAATTTAATCGCCCTAAGTCTCCTGTTAACAATTTTGTTTATGACTGTTAACGGGTAACAATTGTTACGAAGAATTCGTTTGACTAACAATAAGATGATGTTTTTCTCGTGAAACATAGGGTCAGCGAGTAAAATAGCCCTGTCCACGAGGCTTGTGATCACACTAATTTTATAACGCATCGGATGGTTCGAAAGAAAATTTATATAACGGCCTGAAAACGTAGGCTTACGGAACCAGTCAGTCGTCAATTTGCCATTAACTCGTATAACGCTTGTGTCTAAAAAACTTAAGGAACAATTGTTCTCCAATTCAAACGTAAACTTTAGTCGAGTGTGAAAACTATTAAAAATCGTAAGCATATCCTCCACTTTACATTTCGGAATAATTGAAAAAATGTCATCAACATATCTGAAATAACAATGGGGCTCAAAATCCAATTGACGCAAACAATATGATTCCAAATCGTCCATAACCATATCAGACAAAATTGGAGACAAAGGAGACCCCATAGGCGAACCGAAAACCTGCTCATAAAATTTTCCATCAAAAACAAAACTAGTCGAGCGCATAACCGTGTCAATAGCATGTAAAAACTGTGCAATGTTAAATGAAGTAAATTGTGAGATATCATCCCAACGGTTTTCTATTGCTGCTTTTATTAATTCCCACGGTGTGTTAGTAAAAAGCGAAGTCACGTCCAACGAAATCATGACATGATCGTCATCAATGTTTTTATCTTTAATAATTTCAACAAAGGACCAACTATCCTTAATGTGAGATCGAAGTTTCTTGACTGCATTTTGCAAAATCTCACCTAAATAAGATGCAATGTAATAAACCGGACTTCCTAACGTTGAAATTATGATACGAAGAGGGTAACCTACTTTATGGATCTTAGGTAAACCATAGGCACGAGGCAAATTGCCATTAGTACATCTCAATTGTTTGTAAATTGAATCATCTATGAGTCCATTATTCAACCAAGATTTTAATAAAGTTATGATCTTTGCGTTGAGAGCGTTTAATGGATTTTTATTAAGTGGTTTATAAGTGGAAACATCTTTCAGTAAACAATTCATTTTCCCCACATAGTCAGTCCGATTCATCAATACCGTGACTTGGCCCTTATCGGCTTTTGTTACGAAAATGTTACTATTTGATTTCAAAAATTTTGAACAATAAGCGTATCTATTAAAAATGTAACTATCAATATGACTCACATGTTTTTGTTTACTTAAAAATTTGTGTACTGAGCTCGCTACTGAAAAGCTATTTAATATATTATATTGTCACATGTTACATATTTATTTATTTATTTATTTATTTATTTATGTATTTGACTTTGTATTGACGGTTTAAAAATTGCGAAAGACACAGTACTTTGGTTTTCTATTTCCTCAACGCGTAGTGACTAAGTTTCCTGCTTACAGTCAACATCTATTTATTTCGGGCTTACTTCTGTCAGTTATACATTGTTCATCAAAACAATGGTTAATTTTGTCGGGGTTTGCTGTAAATATGATTTATTGTATTAATCTGGTATGTAAACATATATATTTTTGTAAATTTATAATTATTTGTATGATTAAGCGCATTAAGAGTATATTTATATGTATATAATTGTTTATAGATTACTTGAAAAGGGCTGCAATGACAGCCGAAACGTTGTAAATTAAACTAATTATTTAAATTAAATTATTGCCAGTCTGGTCGACTTTAAAATTGGAGGAGAGATTTTCATTATTTATTACTGGCGACTCTTAAGGATTATCATTTATTTGAATTCAAGATAATCTTTTAAACATTTTTCCGATAAAAATAAAATCTGCGATGGTTTGATCGACGATACTGAAATATATCTTAATTAATTATAAAGTCTTACCGAGTGCTTTCTCTTTGCCAAGAGTGACCCAAACAACAGAAGTGCAAAAAATATCATTTATCAGTAATACAGATAGAGAGCCGTTGCCACCCGGAATACGATGTAACGTCAAAAGATAGCCATCTTCTGTCGTTACAATGTGAGTTTCCGTGGGATAACCCGCTTTTCTTATTATCTGCGACTGAAGAATTAAGTAAAATCAGTAAAATATATATTTATATTAGTATATATTTATTTTTACATAATAATTGTGTTTCTATACATTAATAATAACATAAATATAAAATATTACACATAATTGTAATTAATATAAAGTATAATTATATAATAACAACAGTGATAAATATTTATAAAATCCAAAATAAATTTGAATAAATATTAATAATATCTAATAAAGTATATAATTATAATTTTTAGGGTAAAGTATTTTTACATAGTAAAATGTAAAGCTCAATTGTAATTGTTTTAGAAATAAATTGTAGAGGATTATATTGTTGTCCATATTTCTTACATATGTATATCATCGCAAATGAAATAATTTTAATGATTATTGCGTTATTAGAATATACATATAATTATGTATTTACTTTTAATCATATTAAATATACTTTAATAAATATCATTAAAAAGAAAAAAATTGCATATGACGTGTAATATCTAAGAAAACTTTATTTAATCCATACTAATAATATATAAAGAGGTAAAGTTTGTTTGTTTCATTGTTTGGGGTAATCTCAGAAACTACTAGACACTCAACCGATTAAAAAAAATCTTTTATAGGTGAATAACTTAGATCTTTCTGAGTAACATAGGCTATATGCAATCGTCTTGCAAACTTCTAAAAATGTGCGCGTATTGTACAACAAAATTCTTTACGTTTTTTACGCTTTATATTTTTCCAACAATTTTATAATTTAACGTTGCAGCGTAAATAATTCATACTATATTCATACAAATGTACTGGTGAAGATTTTATCAAAATCGGTCGTGTAGTTTTTACGCTAAATTATTAAATTATTGAAAAATATAAAGAGCAAAGAACGCATTTTTTGTACAACGCGCACATTTTTAGAAGTTGTAAGACGATTGTACATAAGCTATGTTACTCAGAAGGATATACACCAGTAAAAAATTTATTAGTTTCTCAGATTATCCCACACAATGGAACAAACAAACTTTACTTCTTTATATGTATATTAGTATAGATATAGATAAAAGTATAAACAAGTAAGTAAGTATAGAACATCGGCTTAAAATCTACTTGCCCCCTTGTCGCGTAAAAATATAAAAATGTAAAGCAAATCATGATAAAATAAAGAAAACACATAAAAAACATAAAAGTTAAATTTGAGAAAACATTAAAAATACAAGCAAAATCTTTAAAAAACTAACATATGTAGATTATTAGTTCAAGTTTAAAAGTATATTAATAGTATAAAAAATAATGTGCAAACTCTAAATAAATAAAAACATACAAGCTTTAACATACTAAAAATGAAAGTATATTAAGAATAAATAAGCTATAAGAGCTAAACGCGGATGACGTTGATTACACCGAGAATTCGCTTATTTCTCCCTAATCATTTGTAGAAAAAAAGACGAAAAAAATAATGATCCGAAAGTCGTTGAATCAAAAACTGAACCCGAGTCTTTCGAATTTAAATTCCAATTGTTATTTGCGCATCCTCATAAATCCGCAACTATATACCGAGCGCACAAAGCACGCGAGAAACAAGTGTCAGCTAATAATTTATTGTATAATCTACACAAATGATCAAAGCCGGATCTAGATATTTTCTCATCCGAGGCACTATTAGCAATTGACGCCCCTTTTTTCTACATATGCACAAATGCATGTCAAAATAACATAAGCTTGGTAGGTACTTGAATTGCTACATATTAATATCATTTTCGCATTTTTATAAAAAAACTTTTTTAAAAAAATTGTTCAATTTATTGTTTATTTCTATGCCCTCTCATGTCTTTCATCCGAGACGAGTGCTTCGCGCGATCTAGATTCGACTCTGCAAGAAATATTGAATTGATTAATATATTTAAATCATTGAGAAGATTCTATGGTATTTAATAGCGGTTGGTCACCAGTCAAGAATGAAAGCTAATTGAGTGCAAACATGTATAAGAGGAGAAAACTTACTATGATAAAAACGATAAAAATATTATGTGTTTTACTAAAAGTATTTATGCTAATGAGGACGGCTCACACGTCCTCTTCGAAGGACAGGAAGATTGTATAACTCAGGTCAGTTTCCCGAAAATTCATTTTTTATACATTCTGATCTACACTTAAAGTGTACTTTACACGATGCTGCTTTTATTCACTTTGAGCAAATTTCTTCTTTAATTCGCGGCGTCTAATGTTTGCTACATATTAATATCATTTTCGCATTTTTATAAAAAAACTTTTTAAAAAAATTGTTCAATTTATTGTTCATTTCTATGCCCTCTCATGTCTTTCATCCGAGACGAGTGCTTCGCGCGATCTAGATTTGACTCTGCAAGAAACATTGAAGGGATATTGAATTGATTAATATATTTAAATCATTGAGAAGATTCTATGGTATTTAATAGCGGTTGGTCACCAGTCAAGAATAAAAGCCAATAGAGTGCAAACATCTATAAGAGGAGAAAACTTACTATGTTAAAAACGTTAAAAATTTTATGTGTTTTACTAAAAATATTTATGCTAATGAGGACGGCATTCACGTCCTCTTCGAAGGATCAGGAAGATTGTCTAACTCAGGTCAGTTTGCCGAAAATTTATTTTTTGATACACTCTGATCTGCACTTAAAGAGTGCTTTACACGATGCTGTTTTTATTTGCTTTGAGTAAGTTTTTTAATTTATCAGCGAATTTGCTGATAGAAACTTTTTCTAGATGTTCGTTTTTTATTCTTTTTATTGCTAGCTTTTCATTTTTGATTCAAAACGAATTTCTGGCTGAGACGAAGTCGTTACCGTCAAATCATTTATACGTTGTTGATAAAGAAAAATAAAGTCGCAAGCGTTTTAGCAAAAATTTTTCTCGCATATGCGCAGGATGCCGAATTATTTGCTATTTGCCTGGTTATTTATTCGCTACCATCTTTACACGAAGCGTTTTTTGATGCTGCTGCTAGTCGCTCAGTTAGTTCGCTTGACGAGAGCGTTAATTATTTTATTATTAATATTAGACGTCGTGATTAAATTAAATGTTATATATACTACAGACAATGGATTGTTTGTGATATTAATCTTGCATGTCACTATTTATGTAAAATTAATGATATAAAAAAAGTAAAGTTTAATTTTACGTCATATATTTAAAGATTGATGTTATATTGTTACACATTTAAATTTAATTGTAATGAATATTTAAACTTAAACGTAACATATGTTGATAAAATTGTTTTGTTACAAATTGTTAATATTAATGATTTTGTTATTTATTCCATATATCTTTTGTTACATGATAAACATACATGTATGTATATCATATTTTTTATACACACATTCTCATATTATTCTCTTGTGATGTTTAAAACTTTTCTCAAATATTTATATTTATTAATTTCTGTGTAAAATTTTTAAGTAAGTTATTTATTATTTAAAGTAATCAATATAAAAAATTTGGACTTTTCAGGATAAATTGCATGCGTAGAAAACTACTAAATATTGAAATAGGAGTTCAATACAATAAATTGCGTTCTCAATCAAACAGTTTCAAGGCCAATAATATACACAGCAGCTATTGTTTTTTATATGTTCCAGTTGATATACAATTTATCATTTAAAGTATACGTTAACACATATAAAACACATTAATATAAAAACTAAATTATTAGACAAAATTGTTTTAACAATTAAAGAGAACCGGGCTTGTAAGACTCACAGTTATATATATACAAAGTGTCCGGTAACTAACGGACCAACAATTACAAAGGGATTCTTTGGTCAATTTGGGAACGATTTTTCCTCAGCAAAAATGTCGAAAAAGGTCATCATTTTTTACAACTTTCCAATATTTGTTATTATGTATCTTTATAACTAAGCCTCAAATTAAAATTTTATTATAGTAAACTCTACCTGAAATTAACTGAAGAATGTAATTATGTTAGACTTTTAACTTCAAAACGTTTAGTTTTCAAAAAACCCATTGTTTTCAATCGCTTATAATTCGAAAATTATTGACTTCTCAACATTTTTGCTAAGGAAAAATCGTCTCCAAATTGGCCAGAGAATCCGCCTTTAATCATTGGTCCGTTAGTTACCGGACACCCTGTATATATATATATATATATATATACTACTGTGGGCAAAAAACATTGGGAAATTTGAATTTAAATGGTGTGGTGCATTATGAATTCCTTCCAACCGGCCAAACTGTCAACAAAGAATACTATTTGGGTGTTTTGCGTCGTTTGCGTAATGCTATGCGTCAAAAAAGACCGGATTTGTGGAGAGACAATTCTTGGGTTTTGCATCACGATAATGCACCATCTCACACTGCATTCGTAATTTGTGATTATTTCGCCACAAACTCGACCCATATCGTTCCGCAATCATCGTATTCGCCTGACTTAACACCATGTGACTTCTGGCTATTCGCTAAACCAAGAGACCGCTCCGTTGACACCGTTTTGAATTGATAGAAGAGATAGAAACCGAAACGAAGAAGGAATTAAAGGCTATACCGGAAAAGGACTTTGCAGCATGTTTTGAAAATTGGAAAAAACGTTGGCACAAATGTATTGCATCCGGGAGGGACTACTTTGAGAGAGATGAAATGAATTTAGAAGAATAAATAAAGATTTTTTGATTTATAAACAAATTCCCGGTATTTTTTGCCCACAGTAGTATATATAAATTCTTCATAACTTTTATTCATCTAATCGTGCGTTTTTTTTTGCAACTTTCTTTTTAATGCAAAAAAATTTTTGGTTTTTAAAAAGATATTTTGCTCAGAAACACAATAAGAACAATTTCTTTAAACGGTGTTTTACACAGTATGTTATATATTTCTTTCTAGTTCTATTTTATAATAATTTAACTTAGCTCAATGCATGTCATTTATGTAATTATAAAAATATCGAAAACAGTCATCTTTTTGAATAAGTGATAGTTACTTGATCCAAATGACTTAATGACTTATTTTAATTATTTGATTATCTGCAAAAGCAAAAGAAGGGCCATTTCTATTTGTAATAAAATTGAACATTAATTTGAAAGTTGGGATTTCTATCACATATACATTAATTTTACTATTTGGAATTTTGCATTTATTACTCCAACGACTTATTTATTAAATTATTTGCGAAATAAGTTTTAATCTAATCTCACATTATGTATTGTTCATCATGTGATTCAATGGAATAGTAGATTTTTATAAGTTATATGATGCATATTTATTACTAGGATAACCCATCCTTCAGATTCATCGATGTCCATGAGTACGTGTCATCAAATCACGAATCTGTTCAGTATTATTTTGAAAACGACACTGTGAGAGAAAGAAATGAAGTCGGTAAGAGTTCATTTGTAAAGTATAAGTATTTTTAAAAGCTCCTATTTGTAAATATTTCAAAATCTAATAAGTTTTAAAAAATATGCATATAAATGTATATAAAATGTTGTGTATGTACATTTATTTCAAATCATCAAAATTTATTATGAAATAATATAATCTAAGCATGCGTTAAAATATAAGTACTAATTATTAACTTTTATCGCTTATATTTGTTTAATATTTTTCTTTGAATAACGATTCATGAAAACAATAACGAGGAGAGGTTTATACTTACAAAAAATGTTATAATTAGACATATATAAATACAGCTGAATGAATTAAAACTTGTAGTTTTTGAAGGAAAGATGATATTTTACATTCCGCATATGATTATGATTTTTACAACGTTGCCATAATATGCGGTATTTATTTAATTTCATTCCTTTTTTGACAGACCATGTATGTCAATATATATATATATATATATATATATATATATATATATGTATATACCCTATATATATATATATATATATATATATATATATATATATAAAGGTACCGATTATGAGATACCGCATTTACATTTTCTATGCATGATTTTATGAACTAGAACGAATTACATACATACTGGACCCTTACATATAATTGAGTATACATTTTGCTTCAAGGAGAATCTACACCATCTTCAGAAAGCATTCCAAGCGAGCCAACATGTCCTAGAGCATTTGTGGAATTTAACGACAGACTAAATCAGAAAGACATTATTGTGACATTCAGGTAAATAATGAATACTTGCGTTCTTAAATCTGGTACTTTGCAGTGTTTTAAGTTTTATTTTATATACAATACAATATGTACATACAGTGTATATACAGGGGTTTCTTTTAAGCGGTGCTCAAAATTTGAAGAATGGATTCCTTATGCTGATAGAGAAGAAAAAAAGGAAAGGTATAGATATGTATGAACATAGGTCCGAAAAAGATTAGTTTTTTAGTTATTTAGATTTATGTAATACAAAATTTTTGTCCCATTTCTCGTCTTACAATTAGAGGAAATGTTCTAAATGTCCACCATGTCTGTAAACATAGACCGGCGAACTTGAAAAACATCGTTGATACCTTTAAATGAGAACTTTTAAGACGAGAAATGAGACAAAAATTTTTTGTTACAAAAATCTTAAAACTCAAAACTAATCATTTCCAGACCTATGTGTGTATAACTTTTGTCGTCTCTAAGTATGAGAAATCCATTCCTGAAATTTTGCCACTACATATGAAATACCCTGTATATGGAAGATGGTACAAAAAAAATCAGAACGGCGAAAAATCTCGAAAATATTACATATACTTTATGAAAAAAATGTTCTAAATAAAAGTTGTAAAATTTCAATGAATTTTTACTTGCCTTATTAGTTTCATTTTAGATAACGTTTTTAAGATTATTTCAAGGTCAACCCTATTTTTTAAAATGAAACTATTCTATATGTCTCGTGTAAATAAATAATTATATGTAAATGGATTTCAGAAATTTGTTAAAAATAAAAAAATATAATATTTTATATCCTTTATAGGTGGAACAAACCTAAATTTACAAATGAAGTGATACAAAAATATACAGTTCAATATTGGTTTTTTGAGAATCAAATAATTCATAGAAAAGTTGCTATAATCTCAAATTTCACGATATTGCAACTTAAAGTGTACAATTTAAAACCTGATAAAGTGTATTATTTCAAAGTACAAGCGCATAACAAATTTGGTGCTGGATCTTATACTAAGTTTATCAATGTGTCGACTACACATGAGAATCCAGTACCTTTATTACTCGTCAAAAAGAATGGTAGATTTTATGTATTGGATATAGATTTACAGATCGGCTTTGAACGTGATATCAAGAGACACGGTAGTGTCTCGCGACCAGTTAAGGGCGTAGCGGAGACACCGTGTATCTTAACGCGAGTCGGACATTTGAGTCTTTATAATATTTCGAATCCTCAATAATGGCTGAAGCAATCGAGTTTATACTAGACTTAATCGATAGATTGAGTTCGAATTATATAATAAAAGTGTCTTTATTTCTGCTCTACGTGATTTGTAAGCAGAGATATATAAATGCAAAGTCGAAATATGAAAAATTTCTATTAAGAAACGTCCCCGTCATCATTATCATCATCATTATCATCATCATTATCATCATCGACCACGCATACATAGTAGTATCGTGCTACACGTATTCACACGTATACAACACATGCGCACACATATATCACACGTACACAACACATGCAAGATGCATGTAGTGGTAATTTTGTCCATCTCGCACGTTTTACAACAGATGGCGATAGTGGCGCTCCGCCATATCGGCAGCGTGCGGGGTTATGTTGGCTAACTCTCTCTCTCTCTCTCTCTCTCTCTCTCTCTCTCTCTTTCTCACACGCACACGCACACACACACACACTCTCTCATTCTCACTCACTCACTCACTGTTCGTCTTGTGTACTTATTTAGTACATTCATGATCGGCAGCGTGCGGGGTTATGTTGGCTAACTCTCTCTCTCTCTCTCTCTCTCTCTCTCTCTCTCTCTCTCTTTCTCACACACACACACACACTCTCTCATTCTCACTCACTCACTCACTGTTCGTCTTGTGTACTTATTCAGTACATTCATGATTAAACATCTATATGCATTAATGTGAAATTTACTTACAATTAGTTTACTTGAAATATTCAATCTCTAAAGTGTTTATCTTATAAGATAGACAAAAAAATCTGAGTAAATAATAAGAAAAAAAAACAAGGATTATTATTGTCATAATTTTTATCAATTAAGTACTCTCAACTATCCAATAATTAAATAAATACGTACAAATGTGCGCGCGTGTACACACATACACATATTGATATTAAAGAGATTGAAGGAGAGGAAGGAGAAGATAAAAATTTAAATATTCACATATATTTTCAAATATTATATATGAATTTATAGTTTACATATCTAATTAATAATGAATTTCTAATTATATTAAACATATCAAAATAAAGACATACATGTATTTATCAAATGAATAAAATTATTGAATACAGACTTAAAAAATTTATTAAACATAAACTTAAAAAATTAATTAATTAAACATATTCCAAATTTAGAAAAAATAAACTTTATTTATATATGCAACAGCTTTTTAAACTAAATTTTGAAATTCTATTTTATATTAGACAATTATCTCAATCAACATCTACGTCCACATTAGCTGCACTGCAGACTACCTCTACAGCCACATTATCTGCTCCGCGGATATAGCGTTATGCCAATACGATACATTACATGTACTTACTTACTTGCCTTTACTGTACCAACTCTTGTTCTTTCCACGTAATCATGTTTTTACAGTTATCGTTTGCTGTATATCTTCCAGCAAACTTTATTTCGTGTGAAGTGTATTTAATTAATTAAATCTCTGCGAAAGATTGAGAAGATGAAGGGATAATTCAAACTATGAAGACATGGTTACATGGAAAAGACAAGAGTTGATACAATAATAAAGACATACATGTATTTGTATCCTGCTGGCATAAGGTTATAGAAGTTGATTGAGATTGAAAAATAATAATGAAAATAATAAAAAAAATAAAGACACATGTATTTGTATCGTGCTGGCATAAAGTTATAAAAGTTGATTGAGATTGAAAAATAATAATAAAAATAATTAAAAAAAGGAAATATTCAATCATCATTTAAAAGCATATTTGAAATCTGTAGAATAAACAGTTTTTGCAAAAAATGTGGAGCATTAGAGCTCTAGTAAGTCTAAAAATAAATGTAAACATCAATTAATAATAACTGATGTTATATATATATTATATATATAAACCAATTTGTTGCAATATTCACTATAAAAGGTTGTAAGGGTAAGATGGCTAAAAGTGAATAATTTAAAAGATAGTTAACATAATTTTACATAAACTGAAATATTTTATAGAATAAAATATTTGTAATATTTCGAAGTTTATGTAAGATTATGTAAAAATTATACCTTTACAACTTTTTATAGTAAATATTCCGAGGAATCGATTTATATGAGAAAAATTAAGGTAATTCTATTTTGAAAATATAAGTGACCTTTAAATAACCTTGAAAATCGCCGTTTAGGAAAAAGTCTGTGAGTAGTATAATGGCAGGTATGGCCCGTCAAAACAAACCCCCACCACCGACCCGTCTGGCGCCGGGTCTTATCTTATCTTTCCCCCACCACCGGCGTCTGGCTTTTCCGAGTGTGGGTGTTAGGGGGAAAGGGTGTTGGGGGAAAAAAAATGGCGACTGGCCCCGAAAGGTGGGGATGAGAATTTTTATTTTTTATTTTTTCTGATTTTCTCTGGATTTGAACCCGGGACCTCCGTGTTTCCGAGCAGGGTCCTAGTATGTTGAGCTAAACGAGATCTTACTAGTCTAAGGATTAGATGTGGTATTTAAGCTAAAGTTGCGTAGAGTACGGCATGGGGGTTCGGGTATACGTATGGCAAGGATAGCTCGTCGAATCAAATGGTCGATATTGGACGGGGGTGGGGTAAAAACAGTTCGGGTATACGTATGGCAAGGATAGCTCGTCGAATCAAATGGTCGATATTAGACGGGGTGGGGTAAAAACATTTTGGCCAAGAAAAGCGTCGTGCGGTCGACCGGTGGCAGGTAGTAGCTGACAATGGCGTAGGGTAATAAAAAAGAACACGCAAATATTTGTACAGGCGAGCATTCCGACTCGCGTCACGATAAAAAATAATAATACATCGTCGTAGATTAGAAAGATGTCAGATAAAATTTTATTTTAAAATAACTCGCTGCTTAATGAAGGTAAACAGGAACATGCATGTGGAGGAAATTTCTGGAAAGAGGAAGTGAAAGAAAATTGAACAATAGTTTTAAAAGTACAAATATGGATTATATTTAAAATATTTTTACAGAACAAAATTTATTTATTCATACTAAAATTCATATTATATATTGTTATAATTCGCTTATTTTTTGTGAGTAAAAATTTTACGAAATAAGTGTATGATTAAACGATCGTTATATTCACAATCTTCGGAAAAAAGAGCGAGAAACTGATTAAGATTATAACCGCTGCACATATAATATAAAAATACACAGCAGTATTGTCCGCAAGTCTTAGAAAAAATTCCTTGTAATTGTTGAATATTCCAACGATGGATGATGGAGTTTCGTCGAAGTCGGATGAGAAATCCTGGATACAAGGGGGGCAATCCGTAGCTGTCGAAATAAGTGGCTGTACCGTGTTCATCGAGGTAGAAGGCGATCCAATGTTCTCCAGGTCGATCGTGATTGTCGGTGTTAGCGACGATAGCCGTCGACCTCGTCCACACCCTCGGAACTCTGTCGGCTGCATAGACTCCAACATGTCTGGCATCGAGATGATGCAATGCTTGTAGAATTTCGCGAGAGTTCATTTTTTTTTGTCCCGAATACGAACGAGTGTACGGTATTATTTGAACAATACCGGTTTTTACCTCTTTCGATAATGCGTCTTCTTCTATCTTGAGTTGTTTTGAGAGGTTTTCAATGTCAGTTTGCGTCGAGATGGAAATTGTTTCGTTCTTGTCCGTCAACGTCGATGACGATTCAGAAATCACAAATCTCTCTTCTTCTTCTTTTTCAATCTGCTGTTCGTTGCTTTGCTGATTTTTTTCCTCTATTTGTATTTTAGTTATATTCTCATTTACATCGCAAGAAACGGCGGTTTCGTATTTATCGTCGCTATCGTCGAAAGTAATTTCCCAACTTTCGTCAGAACTACAAGTAGCTTCAGTAGAGGTTGAAACGTTCTCGCAATTATTTTGCGCACTTAGCCAGCATTTTAATTTATAAGCATTGTATAACGCGCAATGAAAGGTTCCAAATTTTCGAATCCCGTGATGACCGCAATATTGTACGATATCCTCCTCATCCGGTAGATTTTTAAATGCTGGTGAGGTACCCTCCAAATTATTTATATCTCTGGAAAGTAAATTCCTCAAGTAGTTTGCTTTTTCGTTACCTCTGACGTAAATGCAGCGCGCGTGTCTTGCAATTTCGCGGAGATACGAGGTAAAATATTTCGGATTAACTGAGCCGTCGAACCACTCGATGCCGTGATAATTTCGTGAGAGCCAATTGTTTTCTCGTCTTGCTTTTGCGGGTAATTTTCCAAACGCGTATGGTGGCATCATAATCCAGTGCTCGACAATCGGAGTATCGATCGCGACAACGGCGACTTCCTTCGCGATAAATTTATTGGCTTCATCGCGGAAACCTTGTATGTCGACGACTATGTCCATATTGTGAGATTTTCGTTGATGAGGTACAAGCTCTTAGCGAAACGTGCGCGTTTGGTTGTGTCTCGTACAAAACTGAATTTATTCTAGCGCGTTACATAGTTTCCACTCCGTGAAAAGTGTCATCGAAATTTCCAAAGGAAGAGGAGGGGGAAAATTTTCTAATCGCGTATTACATTACGGTGTATGAATACATGTTGGTGAACGAGTGTTAAAAGCTAACCGGAAAAATCGACGATAACTTGACGCGATGCATCGATTTCTATGACATTATCGAATTCGGCGTAAACGATACAATTAATTGTTTCGGTGAGCGCCTTCTCGAATCTCGCTTCTAACCGTAGACTTCCGTGTTTCACGAGATTCCAATGACCGGCGCAATTAGCGGATAGATCGGGTGTAAGATCAAAAGCGAATAACGTATATCCCCGAGAATAATCATCTCTACTTATAGAATTTCCCTCGTTCAAAAAATGGATACCCGTCCCTGAGAAGAGCGTATGATAAGCTTCGATGTAAAGCGGTTCGCGAGACGAGAAAACCGGTTGTAACGGTCTACTGGGTATTTGTGTACCGTCG